TCCTTCCACTGGAACACTCAGCCTTTCTCCCAGCCCCTTCTGCAGAATCCTATCACCTCACCTGCACCTCAAGCCTCTCTTCGTCAAAGCCAGACTCTCCTGCCTCATGCTCACAGCACGCTCTCTTTTCTGGATTTTCAGGTCCTACCCCTACAGAGGCACTGTCCTTAGTCACCCTGCTCTCAGGACACTGGATGTAGAATGGCCTGCCAACAGCACTCAGCCCGACCCTCTCAGCTATCCAGGAACTCCGGCCCCAAATGGAGAACATGCCAATCCAGCTCCGTCAAGACGAGGTTTAAACAGCCATCATAGAGCACAGGAAAGCACTCGGCAGTGATTCCCCGTGCCTGGTGTATTAACCTGCCCCGAACAAAAGCGATCTACTAACGGAGCTGTGCCGGTACAGGGTTGGTACAGTGTTAATCCCAGGGAAATGGAACTGTCTACAAATATGTCAGCTCAACAATCTTTATAGGTTTCTACAAAGAACATGGTTTCAAATGTCAAGAAAACTGCTGGCAACCAGCCAGGACCAGCAGCAGCCAGCCAGGCTGTGGGCTGAGGTCCGCATGAATCTGCACCCTGTCATCTCCAGGGGTATTCAGCTGCATCCTCTCTTACTTGGAATCAAATATTTCAGTCTGTGGCCCCTTCTTTCATTTTGATGGTTAGTATTCTACTCAGAGAAGCTAGCAACACTTTTTCTAAAAAGCCTTCTGGGGACCAAAGGTAACTGGATATCTATACTGGATGATGTTTAATAATACACTTTTTTAAAGCGGGTGGTATTCAAACCAGGTGGCTGGTGAATCATAGTGTTTACCTTTGTTATCTGTATTTAATAACCCCTCTTCCTAACTCGTGGCTTGAGAGGGAGGAGAAACCTGACAGCTGAACAGCTACACACTGGGTCGCTCCTCTTTAAACAGGTCAGGCCTGTGGTTAAATATTAAAAGGAAAAGCGATCGATCTGCCATGGTAACGTTTTCATCAGGCTCAAGTTCTTATTGGCAATACATAAAAGGCATTCAAGAAATGAGTCATTCAATAATCACCAAATCTGAGAACTGATAGGGACCTCATCTAAATGAACCCCCTATTTAGCAGATAGGAAATCAGCACTCCAGGAGGGAACACTGCCCCAGCGCTCATGTGACAGGCAGCACCCACTGATCAGGGCAGAGTCCACATCTCCGCCAGCCGACACATAGCCATTGGCCACACACAGCCACGAGGCCGGGCTGT